TACATTGTAAAGTAACCATACTCCCATAAAAATTAATTTTAAAAAATAAATAAAATGAAGGAGTAAAAAAAAAAAGCAGCATACCTATGACTCTAATGCTTTGTGGTCGTTTACGTTTATCTTGTTCAGGCATTGTTTTTTTTGTGTGTTTTTTTTTGCGATACGCGGGCCTCTCACTGCTGTGGCCTCTCCCGTTGCGGACCACAGGCTCCGGACGCGCAGGCTCAGCGGCCATGGCTCACGGGCCTAGCCGTTCTGCAGCACGTGGGATCTTCCCGGACCGGGGCACAAACCTGCATCCCCTGCATCGGCAGGCGGACTCTCAACCACTGCGCCACCAGGGAAGCCCCAGGCATTGTTTCTTAAACTCGAGCTTTATGGTTTTGGATATCCTGTTCATGTTTGTTTTCTCACTCAAATTTCATCTTTGTCCAGTCTCTTATAAGATATCTGTAAACAAACAATGGCATGTATTTGTGATAGAGGCTAATATTGGGTTGGCCAAAAAGTTCATTCGAGATCATATGGAAAAACCTGAATGAACTTTTTGGCCAGTCCAGTATCTGATAGCAGGGTTCTCTGGTGAATTTTGCATAGCTTCTAATAAAAACATCTAATAAAATAGTGTCCATACACTTAAATTTTCCTGTGTGCTTCTTAAAACTGATTTGTGGCTACAGTGGATCTGTTGGGCTGGTTGCCATGTGAACCTTCACCTTACTCTTTATGGCTCAGTCTTTTTTAGTTTTAGTCTTATGTGTTTATAGTTTGGGTATTATATCCTGGGGAAGTAGAAATGTGCTACACCTACAGTTTTTTTTCTTTTTTTAAAATTATTTATTTATTTGGCCATGCCAGGTCTTAGTTGCAGCACGTGGGATCTTCATTGAGGCATGTGGAATCTTTAGTTGCAGCATGCAAAGTCTTAATTGTGGCATGTGGGGTCTAGTTCCCTGACTAGGGATCGAACCCGGGCCCCCTGCCTTGGGAGCATGGAGTGTTAGCCACTGGACCACCAGGGAAGTCCCTACCCCTACATTTTTGTTCGTTACTTTATCATCGGTACCTTATTTCCCTTGAAAACAGGTTCTTAAAACAATGAAAGTCACTTACGTTCAGTGGCAGTAATAATCATTTCCTGATATTTCATTTTAAAGATTGGGTGGTAAATAGTGACTCAAATATATTGCAGATAAAAGTAATTTGATAAATTATCGTATTTTAAGATTTTGGTTTCTTTTTAAACAATAGAAAAGTTTTATTAGAAAGCTTATTGTTAGTAGAACTTGCATTTTACTCTAGATATAAAGGAAGTGAATTTTTAAGCCAGTAGTTGAAGTTTGGTTGTTATGTTGGTGATTTTTTAAAAACTTTTCCATTCTTATGGTACTTCACTTAAACAGAAGTATCCTATTTGAGTATATATGTGCTGTCATACTCCTCAGTACTCCATGATCATTCATGGCCTGGGAGTGACAGTGATAGAATTAGCATGACCCAGCCTTGACTTTCTAGGCCAGTGGTCTCCAAATCTACCTTCTCTTCAGACTTTTTGAAATTTGTGGATTCCCAGGCCTCAACACAGAGCTACTGCATCAGCACCTCCAGGGGTTCATTTAACCTATACTTCTTTTTTTAACTTGCTAATGAATTCTACGCACACACACGGGTTTGGGAACCACTCTAGCCCACTAGTTCCCAGTCTGACCAAAAAGAACATCTCGAATCAGTATAATTGATTGAACCTGGAGAACCTTTGCATGGGCAGGATTGTTCCGTTTAACAGATGCTCACTGGGTGTGTATGGTGCCCAAGGCATTATGATATGCCCCGGGAATTTATAAGATGCATGTGAATATAGCTTTTACCAGTACTGCCCCCAGAAGACTTTTGGCTGGCTGGTATATGTGAGTCTCATTGTCGTGTCTTGAGTTTTTCAAGGATCATAATGCAGTTGTCAATGACAGCATTGATACACTGTAATTTGTGGTAATGCTTGAAAAATTCTTACTCATGTGGTTTCAGGAACCATATTGAGTCTTTGAGTTTCAAGTTGGCTGCATCTATCTGGACTCTCCTATCTTCCACATGTTACATTTGTGTCATACTTTCTCTTCATAATGCCATGAGGAACTAGCACATTTAGTGGAGTTGGGCTCGTTTCCTGTTTTTTGGTGAATGGAAGAGCAGTTTAAACATCTTTAAAGGTGTCCTATCCTTGGAGGAGTTGTTTTGTGGAGACGTATTGACATTTTATATGGATAAGGAAGCATCATTTGTAGATTTCAGTATCTATTGGTTTAAGTGTTGGGAGTTCTTGGTCAGCTTTGTGCTGTTATGTCGCTAGGTGGAGATGTAGCATTGTTTGGTGGTATAGCCACAGCACAGAGAGTGAATCTTGATTTTTCCAAAAGAACTGTACAGATGTTTGATGAGTTTTACTATACCCTACAAAAAAACTTGCGAACTTAATATAATTCTAAATTGTAATTTTCTTTGTTAGGATTTAACTACAGTCCACTTTGATGTCTGTTTTCACACCAATCAACTCTTTTTAAATTTTTTTCTCCTTTTGCTAACGTTTCCTTTGGCTGTCCTTCATTATTTCATCTTGTCAGAGAGATTCTGATGTCTCTATCTGTGGTTCTTTATAGTCGTTTAATTCTCTTTTTTTAATATGAATTTATTTATTTATTTTTGGCTGTGTTGGGTCTTTGTTGCTGCACATGGGCTTTCTCTAATTGCAGCAAGGGGGAGCTACTGTTCGTTGCGATGCGCAGGCTTCTCATTGCAGTGGCTTCTCTTGTGGAGCACGGGCTCTAGACGTGCGGGCTTCAGTAGCTGTGGCACGTGGGCTCAGTAGTTGTGGCTCGCAGGCTCTAGAGCACAGGCTCAGTAGTTGTGGCGCATGGGCTTAGTTGCTCCGCGACATGTGGGATCTTCCCGGACCAGGGTTTGAACCCATGTCCCCTGCATTGGCAGGCGGATTCTTAACCACTGCACCACCAGGGAAGTCCCTATAGTGGTTTAATTCTAAAAGTTTAATAAAATGAGAATTTTTCCTCTGAGGTCAAATATTATGTAAAATTTAAACTTAGTAGCAATAGGAGGGAAATGAACCAAACCTTATAGTCTGAACATACCCTAATCTTATCTTTTGTATTATTGTAGATTGACATTGTCAATTTTTAATGTATTTAAATTCTGTCAGGCTTATTTTTCCCCCTTTCTTCCTTCCTTCCCTCTTTCCTCTTAACGCTTGAATCTTAATTATCTACTCTATGCACACTACTGACATGGGGAATATAAAAGAAGTACAAACCTGTCTCCAAAGAGCTGATATACACTTGAGGACATTGCAAATGCAATCATGAAGCATTTTAAAGTAATTTGAATATCTGATCTTCAGAAATTGTAAAGGTGGAACTTAAAAAATCTCACTTTGGAAGACAGTCTGGCTGTCCTTCAAACGTTTAAACATACAGCTGCTATATGATCAAGCAATTTTTCTCTCCTAGGTCTATACCCAAGAGAAGTGAAAACACATCTTCACTAAAAAAACTTGGACATGAATGTTCATAGCAATATGAATGAACATGTGAACGTTCATTTGTAATATCCAAAAAGTGGAAACAATCCAAATGTCTGTTGATGGATAAATGAATAGACAAAATGTGACATATTTGCATAATACAGTATTAATTCAGTAATAAAAAGGAATGAAGTACTGATGTATGCTACAACATGGATGACCCTTGAAAACATTATGCTGAGTGAAAGAAACCAGTCACAAAAGGCCACATATTGTATGGTTCCATTTATATGAAATGTCCAGGATAGCAAACCTATAGAGATAGAGCAGATCCGTGGTTGCCTAGGGCTGGGTGCGGGGGTAATGACTGTTCATGGTTGTGGAGCTTCTTTTGGGGGTGATGAAAAATGTAAAATTAATTGTGGTGATGCACGCACAACTCTGCGAATACACTAAAAATCATTGAATTGTATGTGCACTTTAAATGGATGATTTGTATGGTGTGAGAATTGTATCTCCATAAAGCTGTTTTTTAAAAAAAGTAGATCATCAAAAGGTTTAAAATTTATCAAACCAAGGAATATTTATTGACTAGCTAACAGGCATGAAATAAGTTCTATGTGAGTTATGAAACAAGTGTAAGACAGAAACCCTGACCTCAAATTGTTTACAGTTCAAGAGAAAAGCACACATGCAGTGTAAAATAATGCACTGTAGCTTTCTGAATCTGTTCCCCATCTTTTGGATGTACCTTCCTGAATTCCCTCTTCTATTCATCTCTGTAATGGCTCTGATCTTCTTATCCTTTGTCCTTTTTTTTTTTTTCCTTTCAAAAGCAAACTGTTCCTCCTCAGACTTTGATAAAATAACAGCCCCAACCTGTTACCTTTAACTAACTTAAAGGACATTTAAAAAGTGTTTTAATTTTATTGAAGTATATTTGATTTAGAGGACATTTCAAAGCAGGAGTAACGTCTCCAATAACTTAAATTGTGTGGCTCGTGGAAACCTGTTCATTTCGCAAATACTTGTTGACGTTTAATTTACAAATAATTGGCAAATCTTAAGATGGTTGCCATTATTATTTTTGAAATTACAGCAAATAGCTTTTTGGTACAGTTTAGTCAGGTTGCATGCTGTTCAGAAGTATAGTCTTGAGTTTATAGATTTTTCATGAAAAATGGCTCTTAGGAATATTTAAAAGTTAAAGCCATGTTTAGTATAAAGCTGGCTATGTCATCATTAGTGCAGTATTTTGATATTGTTGTGGTCATTAAAACTGAAAGAGAAATTTTGGTTCAGTTATTGTAATTCTATTGTAGCCAGAAAGGGCTATTTTTTAAGGCAGTAGTTGATTAATTCTAAATCTGTCGGGTTACAGATTGTCCTTGTTTCTTTATTCTATTGAGTCTGTCTGTCTGAGTCCATGCTGTTAGTGCAGCAGCTGAACTTTTCTCTCTCTTTGCAGATGCATATGAAACTGCCAAGATGCTTTGTGAACAGTATTATCTGGTAGCTCCAGAGCTGGAAGTTGAAGAATTCAATGGTAAAAGAAAAATAATTTCAGCCTTAAATACAAAGAAGCTGACTAAAAAACTGATTATACCTGAGCTATATTTCAGTGAGATCCTAAAATTGTGCTGCTTTTTCATCTTTCTGTGTTTTTTTTTTTTTTTAAATTTATTTATTTTTGGCTGTGTTGGGTCTTCGTTTCTGCGCAAGGGCTTTCTCTAGTTGTGGCAAGTGGGGGCCACTCTTCATCGCGGTGCGCGGGCCTCTCACTGTCGCGGCCTCTCTTGTTGCGGAGCACAGGCTCCAGACGCGCAGGCTCAGTAGTTGTGGCTCACGGGCCTAGTTGCTCCGCGGCATGTGGGATCTTCCCAGACCAGGGCTCGAACCCGTGTCCCCTGCATTGGCAGGCAAACTCTCAACCACTGCGCCACCAGGGAAGCCCCTCTTTCTGTGTTTTTAAAACCTTTTTTATATCTCTGGTCAGTGAGTTTTTGTACAGGAATGTGTTCTCTATTAGAGCTCCAAGCTCTTGGAACAGAAGTAATCAAGGTGGAAGATGCACAGAGATGTAAATAAGCAGTTCTCAAAATAACCAGTGCAAACAGTCAATAAACATGTAGAAAAGTGTTTACTAATCAAAGAAGTACAAAGAAAAACATAGAGGAATGCCATTTTTGTCTTTCAAAGTGGCAGTGATGAAAACATTTTAATGCTTTGAATTGCTGCCCAGAAAAATACTCTGTCCCCCAAATTTACACATTTCTGATCTACGTTTAAATCGGTATAGCCTTTCTTTAAAAAAAACAGGCTAACAGTGTTCTTTCTCTTTGGCCCAGTAAGTTAAAGTAATAATGGTTATATTCTTTGGTCCAGTAAATAAACTTCAGAAGATTTATTAAGAGAAAATAGGGACTTCCCTGGTGGTCCAGTGGTTAAGACTCTGCGCTTCCATTGCAGGGGGCACGGGTTCGATCCCTGGTCGGGGAACTAAGATCCCGCATGCCCCTTGGAGTGCCAAAAAATAAAAGCAAATAAATAAAAAATATGCGAAAGTCATGAAAAATTTTTTAAATCTGTCAAGAACCAATACTTAAAAAAAAAAGGAATAAATACGCAGACGTAGAGAATGGACTTGAGGACATGGGGAGGGGGAAGGATAAGCTGGGACAAAGTGAGAGAGTGGCATGGACATATATACACTACCAAATGTAAAATAGATAGCTAGTGGGAAGCAGCCGCATAGCACAGGGAGATCAGCTCGGTGCTTTGTGACCGCCTAGAGGGGTGGGATAGGGAGGGTGGGAGGGAGACGCAAGAGAGAGGAGATATGGGGATATATGTATACGTATAGCTGATTCACTTTGTTGTAAAGCAGAAACTAACACACCATTGTAAAGCAGTTATACTCCAATAAAGATGTTAAAAAAAGGAAAATAGAGATGTGCACAGATATATGTATAAGAATGATGATCAGAGTAGTTTTCTTACAGAGAAAAATTAGAAAACAACCCAAGTTTTCCACAGTAGGGAATTATTGAAATAAATTCTGGTATACCCATAAGATAGAATACTATGCAACCATTCAAAACAATGCTTTAAAGAATATTTAATGTTTGAGAAAAGTTGAGTTTTTAACCACAGGCTATAAAAGCTTGTAATAGTGCAAGTTCATTGGATAATAAGTCGAAGGATTTATACCACCAAAATACAAACAGCAGCTCTCTGGATAGGGGGGTTTTAGCTAATTTTTACATTAGTTGTGTGAAACTATATTTACATGTCACTTTTATTTTTTTATTTGTAAGTTATGAAAGAGACATACTTATCTCTAAAAATACAAACATAAATATAGAGTAAAAAGTGAAAGTCCCCACTACTCTGCTCCCATACAGAGTTTTGTGTTTTACATAAATGAGGCTAAAACCATACATGTTCTTTAACTTGTGTATTTCACTTCACCTTAAAGATCTTTGCATGTATTAGTGTCATTTAGAGATTATCCATAGTGTAGATTATCATAATTTATTTGATCGTTTCCCATTGGGTGGATTTCTGATTTTCCCATATTCCATATAATGAGGCATGAAGGGGTGTGTGTGTGTGTGTGTGTGTGTGTGTGTGTGTGTGTGTGTGTGTGTGTGTGTGTGTGTATTTGGAGCGTGGGAAAACCTGTGAACGTGTGGAAGTATTTCTGTAGGCTAGATTCTTAGAAGTGTGGAACGACTGAGTCTTAGGGTATGGGGTCTTAGGGTATGGCATTAAAGATAAACCACATTCCCTCTCAAAAATATTCCAAAAATCGATTTCTCTTATACTCGGTTCAGAATGTGAAGACTTCAGGCTGCCATCCTGGGACAACTGCCCCTACGTTGTACTAGGAGGTGTGGAATCGATGCCACTTTCAAAGTCTGTTGGGTTCTCTGAGAAGAGTTGCACCCCTATTTTGAAGAAATATACCTCTAGCACCAAGTGGATTTTGCTTGAGTATTCCTGAGTAGAAGCATCTTAATATTCTGTTTCTTCCTACTGGCTAGGCGGAGCCTGACCTCACTGTCCTGATTTCTGTCTGTCAAACATGGAACTTAAACTCACCGGTAGTAATTAATTGCTCGTTTGCATGAATGGTAACCTCACTCACTCTGAAGGCCAGAGCAGCGAGCCTGGTCTTGCTGATTCCTGGGTGCCAGCCAGGTCAGCACGTTCCTTCCCAGCGAGGCTGTCACAACGGGCAGTGCACCCCACCAGGGGAGAAGCTTTCCAACCATTTTTGACACTGTCTCATGCGTGATTTTTGAAGCCCTTTTTCCCATCACTAAGAGAAATGGTGGTTATAGGTAGCTTCTAGTTTCCTGTTGCTTTGGGGGATGTATTTACGATTTCTATTATTTCTTGAATGCCAAAGCTCTTTGTGAGTGTGGTTAAGCACTGCAGTTGAGCTCTAACAAGCTCCGTGTTAGAGACGGAGGTCAGAGGTTGGTCCTGAACACCTTAAGCAGACGGGCTTTGTCACGGAGAGAGAGTGTGTGTGACTGTTTTCCGGCGAGGAGTCAGATCCAGATTCTGTGGATTCATTTTCAGAGCCCGTGTGAACTAGCATAGCATCCCCTTTCAGGATGCTTCCATTCTCCTGTGCTCTGCACTTCAGAGGACCGTCGCTGCCATGAATCCCAAAGAACAGTTTGCTGGTACCTGAGAATTTAAGTTCTGTGAGTTTGCCCTATGATCTCTTTTCCTGAAGTTTCGATTTCTTCCTTTCCCAATGCAGACCCCTGAGAAAGTAGTAAATAGGATTATGCAGAACGTACTGTGTGAGCACCATCATTATTTACGGTCATCACTAGCGTTCTGAATATTGGGAGCTAGCTGTAGTAAACTTCTTTTTTATTTTTTTGGTAGTACATTTCACAGGAAGATTAAAAACAACAGAATTTTATTTACCTTACATCAGGTTTCAAATATTGCTGATTAGCTACCCGCGGCAACCCACGTGGGTTGCTCCAAAGATGGGTAGCCATTCTACCGTGCTTGTTCTCAGCATTCTCGTTCTCTTGAGAAATCGGTTGCCAAAGCATTAAGCAAATAAACCTTTTTACCTTACATTCTCCGCATCCGTATGGTAAGGCAGCGTGGCTTAGAGGGAAGAGGTGAACTTTGTAGCCAGCCAGGTGGTGGAAATCTGGATTCTGACACTTAGGAGACAAGTCACTTTGCTGCTGTGACACCCACATTCCTCATCTGTCAGGTCTCCTTGTGAGGTGAGAAAAGGATAATGTTTCTAAGGCCTCAAGCAGAACGCCAGGCACGTGCTGGACATTTAATAAAGGGTGGTTACTGGAAGTCAGGGTTGACTTGGGAAAGATAAGACGGATGGTTGCCACACTTGCATTTTTTCACCATTTCTGGATTAGTCTTTCCTGTCAAGAGGGTTGATTTATAGCTTCAGGTTTTGTTGGAAAAGTAAAGATTTCAGTTCGCACTATGTAAATTTTGTTGTAAGAGAGTTCGTAGAAAAGGTGTGCGTCTATCCTGGAGTCTTTGACCTCTAGTTTTCTCAAATTGGATACTTTTGTGGATATTTTTAGTCAGGTGGTTCTACACGAGAATAAGAAAGCCATTACTGGTAGCGCTGTTAACACTGTCGAAATTAATGTTTTAGTAGTGGTAATAGCCAACAGGTATTAGCTGCTTACTATGTGGCAGGCTCTGTGTAAACTAGTTTATCACTGTTATCTCATTTAACCCTTATGTTAACCCAGTGAAATATGTACAGTGCTCATTTTAGAAACGGAATGCTGGAGGCCCAAATGTGTTAAATTCCTATCAGTATGCAGCCCTCCCTTGGTGTCTGCAGGTGACTGGTTCCAGGAACCCCCGGGAATTCCTAAATCTATGGATGCTGAAGTCCCTTATATAAAATGGCATAGTGTAGTCAGCCCTTCATATCTAAGGCTTCCACATCCATGGGTTCAACCAACCGTGGATCAAGCTTCTCTTAAATGAATTTTTTCTGCTTAGCCACCAGTATTTTTTTTCATGCATATAGGAGAACTGTCTGAAGATAAAACTCTTTATATCCTATGTAGAGTTTTTGGCATTTATTAAATGTCGTTTCAACTAATGGCATTTGGAGCAATGACTGTGCAAATAGGGACTTTATTATTTCTTGAGTCTTGAGCATGAAAAACCTGCGCCATTTTTCCATTGACTTTTTAAAATGTACCCTTAGATGGAAAATTCATATTCCATTTATGTCTTATTTTAGAAAGCCAGCCAACATCTATTAAGGGTCTACTATGGAAAAGCTCCTCGACCCAGGATTAGGGAAGAGTCATGGACAAAGACATTTGACATGGTTTTAAAAGGAAAGAAAGGGACTTCCCAGGTGGCACAGTGGTTAAGAATCTGCCTGCCAATGCAGGGGACACGGGTTCAAGCCCTGGTCCGGGAGGATCCCACATGCTGCGGAGCAACTAAGCCCGTGCACCACAACTACTGAGCCTGTGCTCTAGAGCCCACGAGCCACAACTACTGAGCTCACGTGCCACAACTACTGAGCTCGCGTGCCACAACTACTGAAGCCCACATGCCTACCGCCCATGCTCCGCAACAAGAGAAGCCACCACAAATGAGAAGCCTGTGCACTGCAACAACACTCACCACAACTAGAGAAAAGCCTGTGCGCAGCAACGAAGACCCAACGCAGCCAAATAATTTATTTTAAATTTAAATTTATTTTAAAAATAAATAAAAAATAATAAAAGGACGGAAAGACATCTAAACGATAATGTTCTCAAAGAAAAGTACAAGTAATTGAGCAAGCTGTCAGATGGCTCCTAGAGAATGCTGGTTGAACTGAAAACAAACAAACAAAACAAAGCTATCAAAGGTATTTTAAGTTCCCTGAGATCTGGAGTGAAAAGGTTGACTTCCGAAGGTTATTTATATAACTAATCATGCCTTTCGGTACAAGATAGTCTAAGCATTCAGTGTGCTCCTAGGGCTCCGTTAAAAAGACAGTAAAGGAATACAAAGAAAAACAGCAAAGAAACCAGGGGGACTCATCAGTGGGCCATTGATCCCACCTCCTGCCAAAGGGTAACGAGATAGAAGTACACTGGCTGATTAATGGGACGGAGCAGAAGAAGCCACGAAAGAGGAGGCTGCAGCAGAAATGGCATCAGATGATCCTGGAGGGACTCTGGGAGCAGAGCTGGGAAGTGTCAGGGACTGGATAGGGAAGGTAAAAGATGGGGGTTGATTGAAAGCTGGTCTCAGGTGGAGTAAGGATGGGTGACGGGAAGCAGCTTGACTCTGGCTCTGCTCTGCCTGCCAACATCCACGAGCATTTTCCCCTGGGCAAAAATCAAAGTAGTTTCTTCAAGAACCTGGGTAAAACTAGGTCTGTTCGTGTGAGTGTCATCATCCCAAAGTAAAGCCCTCTTCGTTCAGGCATTTGGGGGACCCTCTGGTCAGAGGCCAGCTTGCTGTCCGCTCATCCTAAAGCCAGTGGAAAAGTCTTGACCAGGTACACAGAGCTCCACGTCAGCCTTCCCACTTAGGGGGAAGTCAACACCAGCTCTCTCAAACAAACAATCCAGTTCCTCATTCTTCAACAAGAATTTTACGACCAAGATGTATCAGACCTCGGGCGAAAAACCAGCAGCATGAATGGAAACCTGACTGGCATTAAACTTCTCAGCTGCGCTGTCATGGTCAGAAGACCCCTCTCCCTCCCCCCTGCCTTTTTTTTTTTGGCTGTGTTGGGTCTTCGTGGTGGTGCACGGGCTTTTCACTGCAGTGGCTTCTCCTGTTGCGGAGCACGGGCTCCAGGCACGTGGGCTTCAGTAGTTGTGGCTCGCGGGCTCTAGAGCACGGGCTCAGTTGCTCTGTGGCATGTGGGATCCTCCCGGACCAGGGCTCGAACCCGTGTCCCCTGCACTGGTAGCCGGATTCTTAACCACTGCGCCACCAGGGAAGTCCCTCCCCCTGCCTTTCTAAATGCTGAAAGAAATTGATTTCAAATCCAAAGTCTGTACCTGGTGAAACCTCCAGTCAAGTGAATCAGAGGTATAAGGACTGAGAAATGTATTTCCCATGCATAGCTTTCTGAGGTAGTTTACGGGACTGACCTAATGGTGTGTATAATGTAGGTGTAAGAAATAGCAAAAAATACTCTAGAACCTCAATCAAAAACAATTTGAGGATGATGGCTGTGCAGCATGTTTGGAAAGCAGTTGATTCTAATTTGAAAAATCTTAAAGAATGGAATGGATCCCATGCAATAGAAAAGAGGCTGGAAGATCTCAGTGATGTGGCAAGGAAAGCATATGTCTCTTGTCCGGTTACCCAAGAAGAGGAGTATCAGAAAGACATGGTCCAAATATTCGGCAACCTTAAAAGGTAACATGATTTTGAGCAGTTGGAGGTGGATAAAGTGAATCCATTTCACCTTAAGGCTGGTAATATTCTCCTTCAAGTGACACATGACTCATGACACATTGGGCTCATAGGGAAAGAAATGTCACCCTGGTCTATTCCTGTGGCCAGTCTGCAGTGAGCAATATTTACCTGGTTATGTTACCAACACAATCAGTGTTCACCTTTTTTATTTTTTCTACAGGGAACCCACTTTATTTTTTTAATTTTTATTGAAATATGGTTGACATATAATGTGTTAGTTTCACATGTACAGCAAATTGATTGTTGTACATGTATATATATGAAGCAATATGTAATATTAGATAAAATAGAATTTCACGTGCTGAGAATCCATAGGAACTGATAATAAAAGTCAAAACCTTTTTTAGTTTTAATATTTTTTATTGAATATAGTTGACTTATAATGTGTTAATTTCTGCTGTACAGAAAGTGATTCAGTTATACATATATAGACATTCTTTTTCATTATGGTTTATCACAAGATATTGAATATAGTTGTCTGTGCTATACAGCAGGACCTTGTTGTTTATCCATCCTATATATAATAGTTTACATCTGCTAGTCTCAAACTCCCATTCCTTCCCTTCCCTACCCCTCCTCCCCCTTGGCAACCACAAGTCTGTTCTCTATATCTGTGAGTCTGTTTTTGTTTCGTAGATATGTTGATTTGTATCGTATTTTAGGTTCCTCATATAAGTGATATCATATGGTATTTGTCTTTGTTCTGTCTGACTTCACTTAGTTTGATAATCTCTAGGTCCATCCATGTAGCTGCAAATGGCATTATTTCATTCTTTCTTATGGCTGAGTAATATTCCATTGTGTGTGTGTGTGTGTGTGTGTGTGTGTGTGTGTGTGTACACGCCACATCTTCTTTATCCATTCCTCTGTCGATGGACATTAGGTTGCTTCCATGTCTTGGTTATTGTAAATAGTGCTGCAGTGAACATTGGGGTGCATGTATCTCTCGAATTATGGTTTTCTCAGGATATATGCCCAGGAGTGGGATTGCAGGATCATACGGTAGCTCTATTTTTAGTTTTTTAAGGAACCTCCATACTGTTCTCCATAGTGGCTGTACCAGTTTACATTCCCACCAATAGTGCATGAGGGTTCCCTTTTCTCCACACCCACTCTAGCATCTATTGTTGTAGATTTTTTGATGATGGCCATTCTGACCGGTGTGATACCTCACTGTAGTTTTGATTGCCAGCATCACTCTTCTTGCACTTTGGGGCCACTATTAAATAAAATAAGTGTCACTTGAACATAAGCACTACAATACTGTGACAGTGATGTGATAACCAAGGTGGCTACTAAGTGTCTAATGGGCGGGATCTATTGGACAAAGGGATGATTGACGTCCTGAGCAGGACAGATCAGGAAGGCGTGAGATTTCATCACACCACTCAGAACTTATGAATTGTTTGTTTCCAGAAGTTTCCATTTAATATTTTCGAACCTCGTTTGACCATGGGTAACAGAAACTGCAGAAAACGAAACCGTGGACAAGGGGATATTGCTGTATATATTACTTAATAGTTTAAAAAGTAACTGATCATCAAAAGGTTCAAGATTTAGAATCAAAAACTCTTAGTTTAGGTGTCCAGTTCCAGGCCTCCTCCATTATGGCAGGCAAGTCGCATAACCTCAGCAAAGCCTGTGTCCCCAGCCACCCACCCTGTGAGCCACACAGTATTGTCATGAGAGTTCATTTGGGTAATGTATGTGCAAGCTCTTTGTAAACTGCTAAGAAGCAAACAAATGATTGCTCTCCTTTATATTACTATTAATTACTCACTTTATTAGAGGAAGTAGTTAGGTTGAAATCATAACATGGGTGTTCTACTTGAGAAAGCTTACGTAGTTTTGGTCTCTTAATGATTTCAGGTCACGAGGAGGAGGAAAGCCTAAATTTTCTATTATCTACTCTATATCCTACTCTGGGATTCTGGGTTTCTCGGATTTTCCTCAGAAGATCCCTGACACAAGGAGAAAGGACTGTAGGTCTCTGGGAGTTGGTCTGCTAGCTGCGAGTAGTATGCCTTGTTTGTCATAATTTAACAGAACTTAACATTACTGTTTAGTCAAAGTCTCCAAGAGGATGTACCCCTCTACCTCTGTGGCTTCACATTCCCCTGGCTGACCACTGGGGTCAGTGGTGGTGGTGGAGGGTGTCCCCCATTTTGAGAAACACCAAGTGATATTTGGATGACCTTATGTAATGCTCTGAACATTAGGACGTAGGTGATGATATTCCAGTTTTGCTCAACTAAGTTCCAAAGAGAGAAATTTGCCTAAGGTCACATAGCTGGTAAGTGAAGGAACTGGATTTCACCCCAAGTTTGTTGGACTTCAAAGCACATGCTTTTGCTCAGCCCTGCCTTTAGAGTTGGAAACCTACGTTGGCCTTTTGTAGAGTTCTTTTTTTATGTACTTGGAAGAAAGGATGCAAAGAACATTCTTGACTTTCTTCTAGTTTTGATCCTTACTCATGGACGGTTTTGTCTCTGTTTTCAGCCAAAGCTCCAGACAAACCTATTCAGGTAGTTTATGTGCCCTCACATCTGTTTCACATGCTATTTGAGTTGTTCAAGGTAAGTGGAATTTAAAAACATGGAAAGAAGTCTTCATTTTAAATTACTTTGATTCAGGGCATAATGGATTCATCAGATTAGCATAAGAAAAAGGTTTTGCATAACCATTTTAAAAATTCTATTTCTAATGCCCTGTGGGTTTTATAATTTGTATACTCTGAGGTGAAAATTTGCTGTGTATGGTATAGTCTTCATGAATATTAGTACATATTGATTTTGAAGCTTAATTGTAAAATAAAAGCTTCAGTGGCTTTATGTAAAATCCATACTGTTTTTTCTTCAGAGATGAGCTTAGAGATGCTTTTTAGTTTCCAGATCTGGCAAAGGCTTTATTGGTGGTAGTCAGATCAAAATAAAAACACGTTTATGCATCTTTATGTTTCTGAACATTAACCATGTCGGTGCGTTATCAGTTGTTCCGGTCCTGAAAGATACGTTAACACTTTTACACATTTGAGTCAGTTTAGAAAATTCAGAAGATCTGACAGAGGCAGGGGGCAAAGATGTGGAAGGGCTGGACCAAAAGAGAAAAGACTGTCTATACCTTAAGCTGTTGCTTTTATTAACCAGTAGCTAACGGCATGTAAGTAGCAGTATTTCAGGCACAAGGCATTTGAGCTAAAATTTCATTTCTTCCAGTGTGTAAAACCCTAAACCAAACACCTGAAAAATCAGTTATGCTGATTCGCTTCCCAAAATTATGTTACTGATGTGACACTTAAGGTTGAGATGGGCATTCAGTTGTGAACTTGCTCTGCAACAGCTGTGGCTTTTTCAGAATTTCTTTTCACCTGACATTTCTTCTACTTTTTTTTTTCCAGCCAAATGATTAATTTTTGTGGGCAGCATGAATCCTCTCAGGCTTTCCGCCTTCTTTAGAGGAAGGGTGCTCTGTAAGTGCAGACTGATAGTGGGATTTAAAGCACACGCCAGTGAGCCTCTGCAGCCTCATTACACGCGATAAAAACATCCCTCTTGGTTAAGAGTTGAATAATTTAAATACCCTAAAGCAAAATCGAAAACAGGAAGGAAAGGAAAATAAGCATTTAGTATGGTGGATGAGACTAAAACGAGATAATAACAAAGTAGAGCATCAAGACATTTTTCCTTGCTCTGAACACACGTTTAGTTAAGTTCTTTAGAGAGGAAAAGAGTGCCATATAAATCCAACTGATCTTTGCCCCCCACCAAAGAAACGTTGTGCAGCGGTAGCCTTTCGCCAGTTTCTTTTTTTAAAGTTGTAGTTTGTGAGTTGGTGGCATGCTAAAAAAAAAGGTTCTGTGATTTCAGAACTCAATGAGAGCGACAGTGGAACTATATGAAGATAGAAAAGAGGGCTACCCAGCTGTTAAAACCCTTGTTACTCTGGGTAAAGAAGACTTATCCATTAAGGTAACTCTTTATTTGTACGTATACTTGAATTATCAGTTAATTTAATAGTGTGTAAACATTGAGGAATCAAAGGGAAGGGAGGAGAACTGACAACTGAGTGTCTTATTTGTAAGTACTGCATTTGATCCTTGGCTTGAGCTACCTCATTTAAACTTCGTTGGAACCCCATTTTTTAGGGAGCTGAACAAGATCCCAAACCCAAGCATATTGGAGCCTAACCCCACTTGCCCGCCTCCTTTGTTTTACACTGTTCACAAAGGGACCATATTTCGTTGGGGGTTCAAGTCCTTGCACGGTTTAGAGTAATCTAGTATGTACTTTATTTAATGAACTCCTTGCCTCCTACTAAGTATAGATTGATGACTTCTTCTTGTTTTTCTTCCTTTTCACATTTTGTACATTACAGATAAGTGACCTAGGTGGTGGGGTCCCACTACGAAAAATAGATCGTCTTTTTAACTACATGTATTCAACTGCTCCGAGACCTAGCCTGGAGCCTACGAGAGCCGCGCCGCTGGTAAGCCTCTGAAACCGCTGCTAGAGGAAAGACCATTCGCTAGAGAAGGGACAGAGCTGGCTCTTTCCCCGGGTTGTCGCATTAGCCTTGTTGCATTTGTATGTTTCCCGCATGGTTTGAAGGAGGGAGAATTTTATGCCACTGCTGCTTTCTCTATGACTCTTTTGGACTCAGATTTCTTCTCTAATTTGTGTCTAAGAAACACTCAGAGCTGAGTACTTACCTCCCCAATACAGAGAAAAAATATTTCCCTGTGGTTAAGACTGCTTCTGGAGCACCATTTACCACCTGGCACTCCCCTTGGAGGGGGTGGAAGTTTAATAGCAGGTGAGCAGGGAACAGCACAGCGTGTCTGGCTGCAGCTGGCCCTGGGCACTTTGGCGCTGCATACCATAGAGGCCCAAATCACCCAGGGCCTTTGAACTTCCCCCGCCAAATTTGTTTATATAATTAAAGTGTTAAATTACGAACACATTAAATTTTTTATATAAGCAGGAAACATATAGGTGGCGTATGCATTTTCAGAGCCCTTTCTGTCTCACTGTGGAAATAACCTTCAGGAAGTGAGGAAAGCCTCTGGTTACCATGGCAGCATTTAGATCCTGGTAGGGCCACACTTTCTTCCCCCGGCTGAGTGTTTCTAATTGACAAACAACAACTGAACCCTTTGTCATTAAGCACAGCAACATATCTGTCAGTCTGCAAAATGGTTCAGAGTGTAAAGTTTCATTTTCAAGTTGTACCTGACTGACAAGCACGTAAGATTATATTTTATATGTATGAATAAAATCCAACACTTAACATCATTTATTCTAGACAGGGTTTGTTAACACTGCATATTGAAAACGGAGAGGAAGTCGCTTACATAGGATTCCAGAAAATTCTTGAAAGATCAATTTGAAGGCCATTGCCTTGACCAGTTTCTGGTACATACTTAAATAAATGTCAAAAGAAAAAGAGACACTACAGGCAAATCTAGAACCTTCCGCAATTGTTTAAAAGGAGTATGGATCGTCTGTTACAGGTCTCAAGATAGCACCTTGAGGACAGCTGTGATGTCATCTTTTTTTTTAAATGACACTGAGCAATTGAAGTGAGAGAGCTCTAAACAATGTGCATCCCACCTCCCATTTTATAGATGAGGAAATGAGGTTACTGGTTTGCCCAAGGTCATTGAGCTCATTATCGTCAAGCTGGCACTGGCCATGTCTGTATTCCTTCCAGTGTGCCTGGTGGCTCTCCATTTGAGGAAATGCTTCCACTAGCATCTCTCCCAGTTAGTCAAGTCTCCTCAGCTTTTAAGCGGGCGTGTGGGTATGTACTACTAGGAAACGTTAACTTCTTCATCGAACACCTTACTATGTTACAGCTCTGTGCCGTGACACACGCATTTCTTTTTCGGAAATGTCCTCCCAGACAACTCCTATTGATCCTTTGACACCCTGTCGGTGGACTTAATCAGAGGGGTCGAAGCTTGAGGAACAGCCCCTTCCCCTCCACCCCAGAGTGTTGGAAATTAGTCTCAATTATTCCTATCAATATCGGAGACCTTTTTTTTCTTCCCCCAACAACCTGTTACTGACAGTCAAGGTTCTATGACATAGAGGTATAGGAGGGTACTGGAATTGTTTTCTTGTCTCTAAGAATATATGGACTACCACATGTCAAAATATTGCAGCGTTCTCAGACCCTTAGGAAGTAGCTCTTAGGAGATTGTTTTCTTTTCATTGTGTTAGCCTTGGTACGGTTAGATTTCAACTCCTGTGCTGCTCAATTTAATTGAGCAAAGAAATCATAGTGGAACTTTGGAATGGTGTGGTTTACTTTGGTTTCTGGTTCAAATTCCACTTGATTTGGGATTTAACAATGCTAACAATTTGCTTTAAAACGTTCAAAAAGCCTTAGTCCGAAATCGGAGTATTTCTTTTCTTTTCCAAACATGTGAGAAGTATTTTTGCAGGGTGAAAACAGATTGTTTGCCATAGATGAGCATATACATCACTGTAAAGTTTGGATCAATAATTTATTTGCTTTAAATATGAAGCAAGAATTTATTATAATCTTGCAGATGGTCCTCAGACTCGATGTGTTAGCGTTTTGTGCCCGTCTCACCGTATTAATTTTCTTTTCTCGGTAGGCTGGATTTGGTTACGGCTTGCCAATTTCTCGTCTGTATGCTAGATATTTTCAAGGAGATCTAAAACTCTATTCTATGGAAGGCGTGGGTACTGATGCTGTCATTTATTTGAAGGTACTGCATTTTATTTCTGTTATATGAAGGCATCTTTACTTTTTAAAGCTATAAGTTCTAATAACTAATGGAGAATAGCACTATATCATCTCCTATATTCAGCTCGGATTTACTCCAGTTTTACGTGAAAACCAAGTTATGTCCTACCCTTGATTTTATGCTCAGATACAGCAAAATAGGAAACATGGAGAGGTAAAAATTTAAATATTGATTTTTAAAACCATAATTCTAAGTTGTGATTTTTTAAAAAATTGTATACCCATTGAAAGGACTAATCTAAAAGGAGACAGGTTTTCATAAACTGAATTCTTGTAGTCTTTTGTTTTAGAAACTTGCCGGCTTTCCCAAAGTTGCAAGAATTCAGTGCTCGTAATATGGTTACCTAAAAGTCTGATCGACTAACAAAGTTCTCTGTAAAACAAGTTTTCTCATTCATTGGTGGAGTCAGACTTTTATTTACTTCTAAACTCTAGAATATTTGGAGTATTTTTTGAATGTGTGATATGGGCACATAGTACAAAATTTTAAAGCTACAAAAGGGAGAACTAAGTCTCTCCCATCAGTGGCCCAGAGCCACTTGGTTCTCTTTCCCAGGGGCGACCCTGGATGCCAGTTTCATGTGGAGCCTCATGGAAGTTGATTCTGCATTGATAAAAGTATGGGGGGAAATCTGATTTTTTTTCACACAAATGATTATTTTAGCACTTTGCTTTTTTTTAACTTTCCAACGTATCTTGGAGATCTTTCCATATCAGTTCATACCGAACTGGCTCATCCTTTTAACAGCTGCTTAGTGTGTTATATGTTATATGATAAGATAACCAGTTATTTTGAGTGTGTATCTTAGATGCCAATGCATATAAATGATATGCTATTTGATATCACTTTATGAGCTTATATTTATACATCTACTGTGTATGAAACTATTTCTTCAGGGCCCTCTGGGAGAACAGTTGCCCAGTGAACAGTAGTGTTTGGTCTAAGACCATATAGTCAAGACAGTTGAATATCTCACATCAGTATTAACTGAACTAAAATAGTTTTTGTTTTGCTCATGTGTACTTCAGTACTGGTTTTTCGTGAAACCAGTACTTTCATAGAAAAGCTTTAATTTCATCCTGATCAGTCTAAGTAACTTACTTAGACTGTAATTTTAATATAACTCTAAAAATATATATATTAATAAGGTTTCTGATGTTTTAAATAATAGAATTTGGGTCAGTATTTCATGTGAGCAAGATGACACTGTGGACCTTTGGTGTCTATTTTTGTTTTTCCTTAGGCTCTTTCAAGTGAATCATTTGAGAGACTTCCAGTTTTTAATAAGTCCGCATGGCGCCATTACAAGACCACACCTGAAGCTGACGATTGGAGCAATCCCAGCAGCGAACCCAGGGATGCTTCCAAATACAAGGCGAAACAGTAATTTACCACTTTTCTTTCTATTATAAAGCATCTGATTTTTCTCCAGTGTGTACCAGCCAGACGATTGACATTTTCAGCCACATCTTTGTGGTTTTATCACTGGAAAAGCAAAGTGATCCCTAAAGAAAGGATGGAGTAGCTTTTTCACCCCAGACAGGAAGGAGAGCAAGAATTGGGTAGCCAGAGTAGCAATTCCAGTAGAGGCCTTGATGACCTAGGAGTCCTTGCCCTGTGGAGGTATCAAAAGCAGTAAGCAGGGTTTAGCCTGCTTCTTTAAAAAGGAATTAATTTGTAATTTGTCATCCTCCATAGACTTCACAGAAGAATGTTTAGAGGAAGTCTGTAGGTGGGTTGAAACTGGAAAAATAAAGAAGTTAAAATTATCAGTCAAGGTAAACAAAATGTGGTTTATCCATCTAACAGAGTATTATTATTCAGCCCTTAAAAGGAATAAAGTTCTGACATGCTACAATATAGATAAACCTTGAAGTCATTATGCTAAGTAAAATAAGCCGGATCCAAAAGGACAAATATTGTATGATTGCACTTACGTGAGGCACCTAGAGACAGAAAGTAGGATGGTGGTTGCCAGGGCTGGGGAGTAGGGGGAAAGCGAATTTCGTGTTTCACGAGGACAGAGTTTCAGTGGAGAAAGATGAAAAAGCTCTGGAGATGGATGGTGGTAATGGTGGTACAACACTGTGAATGTACTTAATGCCACTGGACTGTACACTTAATAAAACATTTTTTTTTACCATCTTAACCAGGTGGTAAATTTTATGTACAATTTACCACAATAAAAAAAATGAAAAAGAGGAAAATTATCAATCATAGAATAACAAGTTTCACTACTTTGTGGTAATAAGGACAATAATCCAATCTTTGGTTTCCAATTTTCTTTTTCTTCTGACTACCTTTAAGCTCCAACTCTGCTAGCAAGAGTAAGGGTTCTGATTATTTGTTTAATTTCAAGTAACCTTTTAGTAATAGAAAAGCAGTATATGAACATTGTAAAAAATTAGGAAATATAAAAAAGCAAAAAAAGAAAAAAAGAGAAACTGCTGTATTCCCATAACCCAGAGATTACCATTCTCAGAGCTTTATCTGTGTTCTTCCAGCTATTTTGCTGTTTGTATACATGTATGTGTATTTTCCCCCAATGAGATCATACTTTTCATACTGTTGTACAACCTAGTTTTATTTCATTTAACCACCTCCACCTTTCCATGTCAATACATTTTCATCGTGAAAATTCCCCTGATTTGTCCAAACAACAAATCAGTTCCAAGACCACATAACACATCTGAGTAGGTCTCAAGCTGTTTTTAATCTAGAACAATCTTTTGTTGTTGGACCATACCAGTTGTCCTGCAAAAATGTCCCACCTTGATTTGTTTGATTTTGTCTTTGAAGTTTTATTTAATTTGTCCCCCTTTCCCTGTATCTCCCATAAACTGGAAGTTCATCTAAAGGCTCAGTGGAGCATTTTTTTGCTAGAATATTTCATAAATACTCCTGCAGAATTACACTCTGAGACCCACGATGTCTGGTTGATCCACCATTAGTAATGTTAAGACTGACCGTAATTCAGGTGATGGCTGTCTGATCCCTCCATAGTATAGTTAATTTTCCCTTCTCAACCAGAAAGTAATCTGCGTAGTGTTATTTTGTCATGTTATTTCGGCACCATGCAACCATCACCTAATGGTTTTTAGCACCAGCTGATACCTTTGGCCTTAATCAGTAACTTTATTAATGTTTATAAAATGATGAGGTTTTTCTTTGTTAGTATCATTCCTTTGACAATTATTAGCTGACATTCTCCTGTAAAGTTCTTCCTCAACAACTAAGGTCATTTAGGTACCTTTTGAAGTACAGTTCCTCCTGGCAAGGCAGGATAAGCATTTCAGTCTTTCCCTTTAATTACCAATTTTCAAGGTAAGAAGTTGAGTTAAAAACCACCTTAAATTTGACCAATGAGTTTCTGGCTTTCTCTTTTTTAAGTAGTATTATGGATATTGTAGATTTTTATTGCTTTGATATGTTTCAGTCAATATTTAACATATATATAAAAAGTGTTCAAGTCTTAAGTTTATAACTTAATGAATTTTTACACCTATATTTCCAGCACGTGAACAGGCTGCTTTCTAGTCAGACTCTCCTCCTTTTTCCCTCCTTACCATGTAACAATTATTCCAACTCTATCACCTATCACTGTGTCTGACTCTCTCACTGCTTGAACTTAAAACAAAAGGAAGATATAGTGTGTGCTCTTTTTGTGTCTGGCTTTCTGTGAGGTTCACCTATGTCATTGCATGTAGTAGCCATCTTTTTGATGCTAAAACTGGCACACCTTTGGCCATTGGAAGCTATTTTGAGCCAGATCCTTTGTGTTCCATTGATAAAACTGCATTCATCTTTGAAAGCTTCCTTGCTTTCTGGCCCAAGATGATGTCCTAGGCTTATCTTACACTTTGCCTAGAATCAGCCATTTTCCTCAAGGACTCCTGTTTCCTTTTAATGGGTATTAGAGACCCTAATCTGGGTGTTGGAGGTGTACATTATACCTTTTCTAGTCCCCTTTTCTGGGCAGAACTATAAAATACATATCTTTTATAAGATCATATTGATATTTTTATTCGATTTTAACATTGTAATGTTTCTCGCTAATATTTTTTTTAATTATTTATTTATTTTTGGCTGTGTTGGGTCTTCGTTGCTGCATGCGAGCTTTCTCTAGTTGCGGCAAGCGGGGGCTACTCTTTGTTACGGTGCGGGGGCTTCTCATTGCAGTGGCTTCTCTTGTTGTGGAGCACGGGCTCTAGGCACTCCAGCTTCAGTAGTTGTGGCACGTGGGCTCAGTAGTTGTGTCGCACGGGCTTAGTTGCCCCGTGGCACGTGGGATCTTCCCGGACCAGGACTCGAACCTGTGTCCCCTGCATTGGCAGGCGGATCCTTAACCACTGCGTCACCAGGGAAGTCCCTCGCTATTATATTTTAATTGTATATATTTCCTCTTACTCTGAAAACCTTGATTCCTAACATAGTGCAACAGAAAGGTATTTGTATGCAAATAGATTTTATATAGCTTTGTGATTTTGTACCTTTATAGTAGCATTGGTCTTTTCTGATGAATGATATAAAGGCTATCTATATTGATGTTTATTCTTTTCTACGGAAGTCTTGTGATGGACCTCTGTGCAATATTGCCGGCCTGGTCACTCACCTCAAATGATGAAATCTAGAGGAGTTTGGTTTGTGCACATGAGTGTGAGTGTACACACAGGTGTGTGTAGACACATACGCACACCATCCCTGGTGGAGATTAAGCTAAATTAGCTTGAAACCCGTGGATCAGTTTCCCTTGATTGCATTTTCAGTCCGTATGTAAGTCAAGTAGCATGTTGGGCATCAGTGTGAGCAGTTAATTCCAGCTATGGCTCCGGTAGGGGGAGTTATTTGAGTAGCACATAAGCAGTCTTTATAAACATTAAGGTCCATTTGGATTGTTAAAAGATGGCCTTTGTTGAATATTGTTTTAAAGGCTGCTTAGGACTTCCCCAGTGGCACAGTGGTTAAGAATCTGCCTGCTAATGCAGGGGACATGGGTTCAAGCCCTGGTCTGGGAAGATCCCACATGCCACAGAACAACTAAGCCCGTGCGCCACAACTACTGAGCCTGCGCCCTAGAGCCCTCAAGCCACAGCTATTGAAGCCGCGCACCTAGAGCCCGTGCTCCACAACAAGAGAAACCACCACAATGAGAAGCCTGCGCTTGCCGCAACTAGAGAAAGCCCACACGCAGCAACAAAGACCCAATGCAGCCAAAAATAAATAAATAAATTTTTTAAAAAAGTCTACTTAAAACTTTAAATAGATTAGGAGGTTGTATACTGCTGACTAAGTATGAGCCTTCATTTCTAATATCTTAGACAAATTTTAGCAGAAAGCGATTTTTAAGATTGTAAAACGGTTAGCCTGATATTTCAGTTATACAAATAGCATAATTGGCGGCCACCTTGGGAAAGTATTTAGTAGGAATGGTAAATTCACTAGGGGAAAGAGAAATCCTAAGAAAATTTATTTCCTAAGCAGATTTTTAATTACAGCCTTACTGAGATATAATGCAGCCTTTTAAAGTGTACAAATTCAGTGGCTTTTGGTATATTCACAGAGTTGTGTGATCCTCACCCACTGTCTAATTTCAGAACATATTCACCATCCCCCAAAGAAACCCCATACCCATTAGCAGTGATTCCTCATTTCTAATCAGGTTTTTAACTGAGAGGAAAGAACTCTTTTAAAGTATATATAAGTCATTAAATGGTAATTCATTTTCTGTAGTAACCATAGAGAATAATTCTGAGATAAGGCACGCGTTTTTGCATCATCACTGTAACTAAATGCTCTGAATAAGTCTCGCGTAAAATAGAGAAGGTTGTCCTCATAAACTCACTGTGGATATTCCCATTATTTTCTTTGTAGGGACAAGTTCAAGACTAACAGAACTTTGTAAAGAACTGAATGCTTCGGTCCTCTCCATGAAGAAAAGATGGTCTTCTGCAAGTCACCCAGAAAGAACTCCTTTCCTCCACCAACTCTGCGTGTGGCACTATAGTTAATCCAGTGTTTGAATGTGTATTTGCTCTCTGTATGAGGTGGACCTTTTCCACAGAAGTTTCCTGTAGCTACTTCAGATCTTCCACTAAAGTAGTAACTTGAGTCATTTTTCGTAGTACGTTGCCGTGGTTTGGTTGGCGCCTGTCATAAGGGGACACAGAACCTCGTTAGCACTCGCCTCCTCATACCTCTGTCCTCGTTATCATAGAGTGTCTGCAGTCTCCCCAGGTTTCTCAGCTCCCTCCCCACTGCGGATACAGCCGATCTCTACTGTTGCTCTTTGTGACCAAATACCATGTTTGTCCCAAACCACCAGCTAAGGCCTGAGGAGTCCGGAAGTTGAGGACGTCAGCTTAGCATGTCTTGATAATTCGGTCCCTGGGCCCTTCCTTTCTCTTATGCGTCCCTCCTCACTCTCTGATTTAGACTTTGGCCTTCTTCCATCTGACCGGATTCTCATTGTGAGGTATGGGTAGTTTCGTGTTAGATCTTCCTCTTGGATGCATAGGTTTTATTTTGAAATTCATTTGTATACTTCCATTCTGTCAATTAAAGCATTCCAAAAGTTGTCTTGGAATTTTTCACTTAACTGCTTGGTTTCAAAGATCTTAAGTGAAAGTCTACCTTCTGGTCGTTATCAAGTTCGTAAAGAGTGGGAAGTGGAATTTTTATGCTTATGTAACAGTTTTACCTCTGAATACTGTCCTTTTGTCATGTTATATTCCTTTGTAGTTTTCTAAGTCCCTATGTGATGCACTTTACTAGTTGTAAAATAGACCGAAGGGAAAAGTTCTTTCTAGTTTATTTTGAAAAATGCCCCAGGTCTTCATAATGTATATTTTCATGAAGTTTAGCCGGTTTTAGAATTGTCTGTCTGATTTTCAGCATAGTTTATTTTTTGCTGGAAGGTGGACTTGGCAGAGGACTTGAGGTGAGGAAAGAGGAGCCATGTTGTATTTACTCTTAGAAACGGAAGCTGAGAGTCCAGATTAAAATTCACAAGTTATAAAGCTCCACAGGATGTGTTTCTCTTCACTGTAATTTTTCGTATATTTATGATCTACCTTGACTTCTGCTCTCTTTTAACATCCATATAAATGTTCCCATCCAGTGTTTAAGTATTGAATTCACTGAGTTCAGAGCTGTCACTTGTAAAGTATTCCTCCTCCTTTAGTCACAGTTTTTCCCTGGGTGGAGTTGTGCGCTGACCAGCTGCGCTTGGCTTGATGTCCCCTCTGTTTCTCTTAGTTCCACCAACTCTGATATTCTTTCATTTTATCATGTTACCTGAGCTCATGATTAGTTCCTTCATCTTTAGAAAGACCTCATCTCTCCCATCCTTCGAAGGCTCTCATCAGGGGACTCATAATTAGGTAAGAAAAAGACCGACGTACTTCCAAGATACGGGTGATGAGGTGGTCCGTATGGAGGTCTGTTTCCTGAAGACTGAGTCAGTGTCTTGGGAATGGGGCTGTTCCATATGATTGTTTCCTTGTAGTATAAAGATGTAAAAATAACAGCCCTTTATTTTTAAAGACTCCAGCTTTCTTCTAAGTTTCAGATCATCTATCAGTATCTTACTTGGCCTGCATTTCCAACCATAGCCCTTTACACTTTCACTTGTGATGTGCTGTAAGGGAAGGAGGCAGCAGATTCCGGAGTGTTCCCTCCTGCTTTGTTCTGTGTGCTTGAGGAATTCCCATTGATTGATATGCCCTCACCCCAAGCTCCATGTAAAGGTTGCAGATGGAAAAGCTGATGTGAAAAAAGCCTATGATCTTCCTCCCTTTTTAGGTCTTTTTCAAAAGTAAAGATTTCTTTCAGTGTTTTAATGACTTAACTGGTAGTCCTCTGCTGATACACGTTTTGGCTTACTCATATCCATCTGACACCGGGACAATCTTGCCTCACCTGTCTTTGTTTTCTGCATTAAGAAATTAACTTTGCTTCCGAAGCAACCATCAGAAGAGTTTCAGAATATCTTGCATTCACACAATTTAGCTGCCCCAAGTATCAATTTATCCTTCCTGATGGCCGTACATCATTCCCTGAACCTAGGTGCATCCCTCTGGCTGGTTGCTGTGCTTTGTCTCTATGTATCTGGTCACATTTCTACATGTTGTAAAGTACATAGACATTAACCGTCTTTCAGCTAAACTTGTTTAGTCCTCCCAAATTGCCCTGCATTTCCCTCTCATTTACTCAACTTTATTTTAAGTATTTGGGGACAGTGTCTACTATTTGAAGTAGGACCTGGAACATAGTAGGTGCTTAATGAGTATTAGCTGAATTAGTGAATGGAGATTGACAGACATTTACCTTGGATGGTGGGTAACTGTCTTTGTTTCCAAATTAAAAATAATTCAGGTCAGGAGCTGTGAGCTGTGGAAGTACTGAATTTCCTTTTTATAGTGCTAAGAGGTGACTTGAAAATGGAGAGAAACAAGAGGAAGGAAGTAGTGATGGATCCATGGGAGCCATCTGATCCTTTCTTTGTCTCTGAATGACTGATTTTGACTCCTTAATATAGTGGGTTCTTGCCATCCAATCAGGTGACATGGTTTTATACCCTTGCTTATAGATTCCAGAGAACTTTCGCATACAGCATCCTATTTGATCCTTCCAATGCCACGTGGTGGACCATGCAGGTATTATCTCTCTTTTTCATATGAGTTCCAAAGCAGTTCAGTGGTTTGCCACGGTGGCATGGAAGAACCAAAGTGAGTAGTTGGGTCTTCTTGTTCCTAGGTCCATGCTCTCAGCGATGCCCCAGGTAATTAGCATTATCTCTTTTTTGAGGAATTTCTTGGGTATATTAACCCTCAAGGGTAAGATATAAACCAAAATTTTTCGGTAGTGTCAGAGAATTTCATTCAGGAGAGGTTTTCTTTTGTGTGTTTTCATCTTGGCATAGTTAGTGGAGATAATCGAATGGATTTGGCGGCTGTCACCTAGAAAGGCAGCCGACTTTAAAGTGTATAACTGTTGGTAATTACTGGAGTTATTTAGACTTAATTCTATGTTTGAATGAACTCAGTGCTCACTGCCAGCCTTCTCATACAATGACTCCACATTTGAGAGTCGATGCTTTTATCTCTCGGTGGACTGGATTACAGTTTCAGTTGGATTTTCTCGCATAGTTACAGATGCCTTTCTGTTGCCGTCTTTTATGAACCGTAACTTGGCTGTCTCTCAGATTCTTGGATCACGTCTTTTTCCCCTCAGTTCTTTGGAGACATCACTCTGTTGTCTTCTAGTGTGTGGTGGGTCTGAGAGGGCCGAGTCCAGACAGATTTTTCTTCCCCTTTTGTACATGAACTGCTTGTTTGCCCTGAGTACTTGTGATTTCTAGTTTATCCTTGAAATGCAGTAACTTCATTCGAGTGTGTCTCGGGGCCAAGAGTTACCTGTTGGCTTTTTCTGGTCCTCAGTGAGCATCAGACATTGACATTCGGGCCTTTCTGCGTTGCTTACCGGTTTATCGGCTCTCATGTTCAACAATCTGCCCCTATATTGACTCTCTGTTCTCTGTCCTTCACATTTATCTTTCCTTTGATTGCTTTTGGTCTCCTTGTCTTTCTTCCTGCTGTGTGATTTTTTTCCCTCAGGTCTTAACCTTGCATTTCACTGATTCTGTTTTCTGTGGTACTGATTCTGGGCCCCAGTGCTTGCCATGTGGCTTTCACTTCTGCTGCAGTTTTCTTTTCTTTTTTTTCCCTCTGTGTCTTTCCTTAGCTCTGCCAGCTTTTTCTCTCATTGTGTTTTCCTCTTTGACTCCTTTTTTTCGTTGCTTGGGAAGCTGAACTCTGTTTTCGTGGATTCTGAAATGACTCTGTTTCCAGAGTGCGTTTTTCTGTGTTTTGCTTCTTTCATTCCTTTTGTGTTATTTTGCTTTTTTCTTGTTGCAGAAGTATCGTGATGGCTTTTTTCTGCTTATTTGTTGGTCTTTGCATGGGACCATTTCTATCTGCCAAGAAGAGTGTGGCTAAATCCTCCTTGACTCCTCCTTTTTCAAGTGAGAAGCATTTGATCACCTGCGCCCCTGAACTGTAAGGCTGGATATTGACAGAATGTAATGGCAGAGGCTCTCTTTGTTTTCCGTTCTGCTATCTGGACGCGGGGGAAGGAGGAGTGAAGCAAAGCCTCCTTGGAGTGCCTTCCGTGGACACTGTTGAATCCTTCGCCCTGGGGGGGCGGGTGCTGGGTCCCAGTGGGGGAGAGGATTGCCCTCGAGTTTCCCCATGTCCATTAGACGTCGCCCCAGCAGGAGTGTGGTGGGTTCGTCCCTCTGCTCTGCTGGGTTATATGTAGTCAGTGTTTGTGTGTTTGGCTCCAGAGTTACTGTTTCTCTCCTCTGCACACAAACGGCGCACCTGAGATGTCAACCTCCCCTCCTAGTTTTTGCTTCGGGAAACATGCCCACGCAGTGTGCCCTCAGCTTGTCTTGACCGCCACCAGGCTTTATTTCTCCAAGTTAAGAAATGATTGGTAGAGTCCTTTGGAACGCTCTCAACAACTGCCCAGCAACTGTGGCCTGCTTGACAACTTCGAGAACCCTCCTCTGATTAGTCCTCAGCTTGGTTGTCAGACACTCTCCTGGAGTCCTCGGTATGGGGTGGTGGCTTTTATTAGTTTCCCCGTAGACAGCTTCTTTTTCAGCTTTTGGATGTATGTGTTGAAAGGCAGGAGCACTTATATAAACATGAATTTACTCTGCCATCTTCCCGGCAGTCCAGCTGCCTAAACATTGACTTTGAAGATAATGTCCTTCCTAATCATAAGCTATATGTTAGTCAACAGATGGAACCAATATCGCTAGTAGGAAAGCACCATTAATAACTTAATACAGGATTTTTGTTTATTGTTCTTTGTGGAAAGGTAACTTTTAACTTGGGTTCCTGGTCCATTGATTAGAGAGATCAGTACCTTCTGGTTTGAAAACAGGGGGCATGTGACATTTTCATGAACTTAAAAAGTTACCAGCCATTGACAGTGATTTATTAGTTAATTAAATATGATGGAATATTTCAAACTAGCACATAATCAGAATTATCAGGAGAAGTTTAAACTATTTTTTACTGACAGGTTGCTAGTTGAGCTGCCCAACGGAGGGTGGTGACCCCGTGAGAGCTTTACTGTGACACAGGTTTTTCTTACCTGTCTTTTCATCAGCCCGTCTTAAAATGTGGTTCATTAAGAAACAGAAAGGAGTCAAGTCCTCATCAGGATGATTGCTGATATTCATGAATATACCTTGAGATGGTTTGTAGGTCTGGGACCTCCTGTCACACAAACTGACATTTCAAAAGTGCGTTTATAGGGGGATCACAGATTGGGGGTTTTATTTCGCCTATTTGTAGGATTGAAGCCTCCTTTCCTCAGTGGGCAGCGTATCCCACTGGGCACACTTTCCTCACCTTCAGAGCCGAGCGCAGTGATCAAGGAGCAGGGGTGACAGCCTTGCTCAGTGCATCTAACTCTACCCTGTGCAGTGCCTTCCCCTCAGGTCAGAGTGTTGGCCCTGGTTCCGTCCTGGTGTGAAGTGCACAATGGAACACGTGTCCGTGTG